CATTTTTCTCTGTCTTCCCTACAACATTTTTTCTCCATCTTTCTTCAATTTTATTTTTTTAAATTTTTATACTCATTTTATTTATTTATACGCCGACAAATTACGAAATTTTTGCCATCCATCACCGCACATCTCAAGCCAAATAACTAACCCCTCTATTTATTATCTAATTTTGAGTTTGCAGGCACGTTTCCTGCACGTGCACGGGTTAACTTCTTTTATTCATTTGCAAACATCTCCATACTGTAAACTAAAGACATACAGGTACACACACGCACACACACGCGCACACACGCACACACACAACAAACACACACACACACATAAATACATACAAACAAACATATACACACACACCCAAATTACTAGAATTGCCAAATATAAACATAAATATATATATATATATATATATATATATATAAATATTAGCTATTTATTTATCTTATAGGGTATATATATATATTTAAATAAATATATATATATATATATATATATATATATATATATATATATATATTGTATAAAGATGCAAATAGATCTATATTCAACACACACACGCAAACACATACATATATATATATATATATATATATATATATATATTATAAAGGTTACGTTATGATCTTGTGTAAGTATATAAAAATCTGGGCTCGTGAGATTAATCAATGCAAAGATAAAACACATGAAGTTATGGAACGTCACGAGGATTTTATTAGTATAAATGTGTTTCGTCGATCGTTTTATTAATTGATTATTAATTTAATTATTTGTTAATTAATTGTCGATCGGTTAATTAATTGATTATTAATTTAGCCTTCTATTTGGTTTTCAATTTTCAATTAATTTTTTAAAATATGAAAAATGAAATGTCAAAAATGTGAATAAAAATATTAAATCATTGACAGATATGGAAGATAAAAATATAAAAATATTATTATGAATAAACTTGAAGGATAATTGAATTAAGCGATCTACTAATACTGCTGCTGCTACTACTACTATTACTACTACTACCACCACCACCACTACTACTACTACTACTACTACTACTGCTGCTGCTGCTGCTACTGCTACTGCTACTACTACAACAACAACAACTACAACTACTACTACTGCTACTACTACTACTGCTACTACTACTGCTACTACTAATACTAAAACTACTACTAACAGTAATAATAAAGAAGAGAAAGAAGAATAATCATCGACTTGAAAGAGTGCATTAATTCGAGTTTATGCAACGTTCTTAACATGATCTTAAGGAAGTATGCTGGTGCATCTCAAGATGCAAACACACAATTAAAACACGTTAAAATAATTTTTTAAACATACAAACAAACGCATACAAACAAATATATGCACGCACAAACACGTACAAACATACAAACACATACAAACATATAAACACATACAAAAGTAAAGCTACATAAAACATACAATCAATCTTATAATCCATAAACACACCTGCATGTTTTGACATGCAAAAACATATCGACAAAGAGATACACATACAAAATAAAAAATATAAAAACTCTAATTGTACAAACACAAAATACAAAATACACACATGCATAAACAAACAATCAGAGGAACAAGCAAAACAGAGTATACAATTAAACTGAGGCACGTAGAGAAACACGGGGCTAAAGCATCATTTTAATACAAATTGTTCTTAATCGTACTCATGAAAGACCTCGTGATACAAATTTTAAAAATACTTTTAATACAATGGCTACGTTGAAATAATACTTTTTAAATAGTATTTTTTGAAGGTTTAATTATTTTGTTTCTAAAAAATATTTGCAAAAAAGTCGGTAAATTATTGTTAAACTTTATTCACGATGCTGCCAACAATATGGGATGTGATGCTTTCTGAAGTTCTTGAACCTAGAAATTGATAACGTTTGATAGTTAGATATCTATCTATCAATCAATCCATCCATCTGCTCATCTATCATTGAATCCTGGTGAGTGAGTTGTATACGTTTTCATTTCATTTATTATACAAAATTATATCAAAATTTTTTTTACGAATAATTTGATATTCCATTGTTACAAAACATGTATTTTTTAAGTTATTTATTACCGTTGTAACCTATTTATGTTAAAGTTGAGTAAAGTCATTGCATCAGTTTTAAATGAATTGATATTGTAAAAGATGTCACAGTTTTACATATATATATAAATAATGATGACATGAGAAAAAAATATTGAACAGTAAGTATATCATTCATTAAATGTATCATGATATCATTTAATGATAATAATGATAAATAGTCGTATTAATATTGATAAATACTAGATATAAGCAATGTAACTGATGAATGTAGTTCTATCTGATATCATTTTC